AGAAAACAGTGCAACAATGAATGAATGAAAACCCAAAATCTCTGCAAATGTTCATTAAAACTAATAAAATTTAATAATAATAAAAAAACCAACACAAACGCAGGCTATACACATGGATTTCACCTGATGGTATGCATAGGAATCAAATTGACTACATTTGTGGAAGGAACTGTTGGAGAAGCTCAATATCAGCTCTGAAACCCAGACTAGGTGCTGATTGTGGAACAGACCAACAACTGGTCATTTGCAAGTTCAAGCTAAAGTTGAAGAAAATGCAATCTAATCCACGGGAATCAAAATTTGACCGTAAGTCTATCTCGCTCGAATTTCAAAACCATCTCAGGAACAGGTTTGAGGCCTTGAGTATCAATGAGCATAGGACAAATGAGCTGTGGAAGGATATCAAGAATATAGTCCATGAAGAATGTAAAAGATCATTACAAAGGCTGAATAGGAAGAAAAGACCAAGATGGATGTCAGAGGAGACTCTGAATATTGCATTAGAGCACCGAGAAGACAAAGCTAAAGGAAGAAATAAAAAAAACAAAACAGAAAATTTCTAAGGACAGCTTGGGATGACAAAGCAAGATACTATAATGAAATGTGCAGAGAGCTGGAGTCAGAAAATTAAAAGGGCCGAACTCACTCAGCATCTCATAAGCTGAAGGAGTTGAAAAACAAATTCAAGCCACAAGTGGCAATACTTAAGGATGCTTTGGGTAGAGTGTTAAATGATCCAAGAAGCATTAAAAGAAGATGGAAGGAATATACAGAGTCACTGTACAAGAAGGAATTGGCTAATACAGAGGAATTTAATGAAATAACATTTGAGCAAGAGCCTATGGTAATGAAGGAGGAAGTTCAAGTTGCTCTGAAAGAATTGGCAAAAACAAGGCTCCAAGAGTTGACGGCATATTAATTAACATATTTCAACAAACAAATGCTTCCCTGGATGTGCTAAGTTGTGTCAAGAAATCTGGAGGCCAGCCAGCTGGCCAACTGACTGGAAGAGACCGATATTTGTTCCCATTCCAAAGAAAGGTGAGCCTACGGTGTGGAAATTATTGAACGGTATCATTAATATCACATGCAAGCAAGATTCTGCTGAAAATTATCCAAAAACGACTGTAGACATTAACACAGAAACTGTCAGGTGGCTGGATTTAGAAAAGGTCGTGGTACTAGGGATATTATAGCTAAGGTTAGATGGATTTTGGCAGAAAGCAGAGAGTACCAGAGGAATGTCTATCCGTGCTTCATTGACTATGCAAAGGCTTTTGACTGTGTGGATCACAACAAGCTGTGGCTGACTCTGAGAAGAATGGTAATCCCAGAACATTTGATTGTGTTTATGTGAAATCTATATTTAGATCAAGAGGCAGTCTTCAGAACAGAGCAAGGAGACACTGCATGGTTCAAAACTGGGAAGGGGGTCTGCCAGGGATGTATTCTATCTCTATACCTTTTCAATCTGTATGCAGCACAGATCATCCAGGATGCTGGGTTGTATGAGGAGGAATGTGGCATCAGGATTGGTGGAAGATTCATCAACAACCTGCATTATGCAGATGACACAACACTGCTTGCTGAACCTGAGGAGGACCTGAAGCACTTGCTGCAGAAGGTCAAGGACTACAGCCTTCAATACAGATTGAAGCTCAACATCAAGAAAACAAAGATT